AAAAGTTCTTTACATTTTACAAAAGGATTACAAAAAGTGATAAACAGGTTTGTTCCAGTTCAGCTGCACGCTGTGAGGCCCAGGGCAGGAAATACTTGAGGAGGCATTACGTTTGAGATGAATATACAGTTTTACTATAGGCCTACTGTAAATGAGGTTATCAAAACTAAAATAATCTAATTCTTTAATTTTTGAACTATTTGAATACAGATGATTATTTTTCTAATTTGATGTTTGTTATTGCTATGGGAAAAAGAAAAAATAAGCATTATTTCACTTCCAGTCAATTAAGCTTTCTTTATCCAGCAGCAAACAAGGAGTCACGCCTATGACTGTCTCTGAATGGCATGAACAGATCTGAAAGAGTTCCTTTGTTTTAAATCCCAGAGGTCTTTAGAAACTCTGCCTTGCTACCCTGTCTGCACCAAGGCAAATGAGCATTAATCCTATTTTACAGGTAGAGAAAACCGAAATAAAGTGTTAACATAGCTAAGGCCACAGAAAGTATCACCAACAGAGCACTGGTAGGTACTAACACCTCATGCCCTTTGTACTCAGATGGCTAGACAATTCATTAAGAGACTGAAACAAAATAAAACCATTGTTAGAGCTAGAGTTCCAGTCCTGCTCGACCCTGTATCAGCACTCAGTAAAACCAGTCTCTGCCAGGGAGTAACAGAGACATGGCAAGTAGGAAAACAGAAGCACAGGAAAGGCAAGTGACTTGCCCAGTGTTACCGGCAGGGCAGCGGTAGAAGGGGAGACAGAACCAGCTCTCCCAAGCATCAACCCAGGCAGCAGTCAAAAACGTGACACTAAAATGGACGGAACCTTCTGCCTTTACTGTATAGTCAGGAACTGATTTTGTGACCTTCCAGAATTCAAACTGGACATCTTCAGTAAAGAGACACTGGACAACTTTATGGGAAAAGCAGGATGTTTTCCTACAAGACTTGCTGAAGAGTTCTTGAGGCTTTTGTGATAGGATGATCAGAGCTATTGTCAGCCCTGAAACCTACGTGACAAGCAACAGAGAGGATTGCCCTGAAGGCCTGCTCCAGGGTATGCATTTGTTCTCCTCAAATCTACAGGCAAATTAAGAAGAAAATAAAGAATTCTAAGTCCCACAAGTACTCTAAAGTGGATAAAAAGCCCTGGGCATGACTGGTTACTTGGGCTTTAATGAACGGTTTATGGACATAGTGCAACTGTAGCACATTTCACTTCATTCCCTGTATAAAAAATATTAATAAAGATATCAAAGTTGATGGCCGAGCAATTGTTTAGTCTTAAAATACTTTCATGCCTTCACCCTTGTGGGTTTTTTTTAAATAACTAGAGCTTTTGAAACTGTTCCACAGGCAGTAAGCCCCAAGTATTGCCTAAGCCTGATGATATGTTTGGAACTTGATTTAGACTCCCTCACTTTTTATCTAATCCCCAAAAGATTTGATGCTTCCAGGAGCAAGCTTGCAGTCATTGTAATAAATTCTCAAACTTTGACATGGAAGCTACGGTACCTCCAGAAAGGAGGTCAATTAGAACCAGCACATTGTAAGTAAACCTACTCAGGAAGGAAGGTTGTATTTGGACAGGTTTTTTGACAAATTGTAGCAACAATTATTTTGTGGAAGGGCACGCAGAGGAGCATGTTGCTCTAACACCTTATTTTCTAGTAGTTAATAGGGGTCATTGAAGGGGTAATGGGGGTGTCCAGCATCTCTTGCTACTAGCTTTCCATTCACCTGTGAAGTAAACAGACTCAAGTCAGAAAGATAAAAATCCATTCTTACTCCCAGTTTCAAATCCTGCATGGTTTAGATTTCTAAATCTTCATATCCCAAACATCTGGAAACATCTTTTCCAGCTTAAACAAGAGCTGTTCCCTCTATTCCTGAGTCCTCTTAGCACTTCTTGAAAGTAAAATTTTAAAATTAATTAAAAAAAAAAAAGGAGATAGATTTCTGTAGCCTAGAGCAAGTGTCTTTCAAGCTGCTGAGGCTTGAAGAATTCGATTAAGAATAGTTAAAAGCCTTTTGCCTTGTAGCTGTCCTTGAGTAAGTGTTGTAACATGCACACTTCAAAACACTTTACTGGAATTGGAGCTTTTGCCCATGTTTCCATGATAAGAGAGTTGCTGGGCTGCCAATTTTACAGATGGGTAAGATGAAACACACTGAATAACTTGTTCAGGGTCATATACTGAAGCATGACTAGTGTCACTGAACTCCTTCATAGCACTTCTTGTTTAAGAACATTTTCACGGAAGACCAGTTTTTCCAGCTGTAAAATGGGAATACTGAAACCGATATTCACAAATAATCAAACAGAGGCTCAGGCTGGCCCAAAAGCAGACATGGCCATGCAAAAGTTTCAATTCCTACATCCCACCTCTAAGCATTCAGATGCACAGTTTGCATTTCTAGTTGCACTAAGTCCATTGCAACACCCTCAACTTCTGAGCAGCTGAGGTAAAGCCTCACTCCTCATCCGTAACATTTGGGGAAATTTAGGTGCAGCGTTGGCAAAGAGATACACGCTTCCCTGGGTGACAGACTAGCATCATTCAGTAAAAACTTGTATTAAGCGACTAATGACTGAGTTATGTTAGAGAAATAATTGATTTTTATACATATAAATGTGATTTTTTTTTTACGCATATAAATACGGTGTTAGAGATCAGTCAGTGTTATGGGGGCAGAGGGAATCACAGGGACTTTCAAACCAAGCATCTGCTACCAAGTCCCTCTATTAGCTTTCAGTATAAAACCTGCATTTCAAAGCAACAACTGGAACCCCTAGTAATGAATTGTTTACAGTGATTACTGAAGTGTGAAATTAGTCACTTGGGGGCACTACAGAGCAGAAGACAAAGATGTTAAGATTTAACATTTGACTGATGCTCAGACTAAAATAAAATAAAGCTGCCAACTGAAGGCAATCCTTAAAACCGAGGACAAAAGTATCACAGTATCTTCATATTCTCTTGAGAGCAAACAACTTCCTCATGTTCTCAGAATTCATATTCTTTGTTTTTCCCCCCAGTTTCTTCCCCCTGCATATTTCGCTATACAGAACAGCTCTTCAGATAAGCATTCTTATTCTCAGCATGCCAAGACAGCAGCTGCCAGAAGCAATGTTTCACATAGCTGATTCCAGTCTACCCCAGGAATTTGAGAGTAGGAGCAGGGGGTAAAATCAGTAGCGCACACACTGCAGGTCAATGATAGCTAGCTATCAAAAATAGAGAAATCATCATGTGTACAACATAATCACCCCTCCTCTCCTGGCTTGCTAGTCATTCAGGTTTCACTTAAGTATACTCCTTGGCCAACTATGTGTTTCCAAAAGTTTCCATTTCAGGCTGGTGCAAGGTGATTTCCAGCCTCTATACAGATAATGAACTGTTAAATTATAAAGCAACTTAATAGCCTCTCCTCAGGCTTTAAACAAAACAGAATGTGGAGAAGAGCAACACAACTGTAAGAACTTGTGGTTATACATGAGTCAAGTAAAGCAAGGAAAAACTGTCTCAGTTATGACAGGGCTCTGCTATCACTGCCGTATCACACTTTGAAATCCAGACACTGCAAGTTAAATTCACAGAGGAGATAGGCATGAAAGGTTAGACAGGAATTTTAATTTGTAGTTGATGAAAATTCTTTCCAGTAAGTCTAGAAGGGATGGGCAGGAGACAAAAGGTTCCGCTAGAGATCTTACAGCTACAGAATCGTGTTTTAATTCTCCTCATCTTGCTTCTTCCTGTCTTATCTGACAATATGGCAATATCTTTGAAGCCCAGCTGCATCACATTCATCCTTTTTCTAGTTGGATAGGCTAGCACTTTGAACTGTATTTCATCTCTCCTTTGTGAATCACTGTGATCTGATCAGGTCTCCCAGGTAACAAAAGTACATGAATTATGCCTGGCTCATCCAAGTCAGGCTACAATCTAATGTATTTTGCAGTTTCATTAACAAAACAACTTTGTTTGCAGCATGAGTAGCAACATACTTTGAAAAAAGAAAAAAAAAACAAAACACACACACCAAAAAACCCCATGCTGTCAACAGCAGGTGTGCTTCTCACTGCCGCATTGACACAGATGAGCATCTAAGCTTGCAGTTTGGTGTACAGACTCCTGATCCATAAATACAAAGATAATTTTGGTTGCAGGGATGTGGGGGTTTATATTTACGCACACATACTGAAGCAACTATACAGTTAAAAGCATGGCCTTGAAGCTCTTGTTAGCCCCAGCATGACAAACAGTAAAAGCTATATCTACCCTTGATATGAGACAGTCACTCACCACACATTCACAACTTCTCTTTTCTAACTCAAACTAGTCACTGATATGCTCTCAAGTACTCAAAAAACCTCAATGATAAAACCTGGAGAAACGCTTTCCCCAAATAATTCCTATAGCCAGTAGCCACTGACTACTGGAGAATAATTTATCGGCAGACAAACTGCTGAAGGGGCAAGGGTATACTTGACAGCTTCCAAATTTGCAGAGACCTACTGTACCTATGCTGTGTCTTGCACGATAGAGAAGGGATAAACCACTTCAGACTCATTACAGCACAGTTGCTATAGTTGGATGGTGGTGCACCAGGGAACGGCAACAGCTCTCTGCTGTATAGTCAGAAGCAGGACAATAAGAAACAAGGAACACTATAGAGACAGGAGACAACAAGGCAATGACTTTTTTTGCAGTGAGGGGAAAGGAACAAGGTTAGGTCCTTTAATATAGGGAAAATTCAACACTTACAAGGCATTGGTTTCTCTAAAAACAGAGGCATCTGATAGCACACAAGGTAAGGTTTCACGTGACAAACTACTGATGCTAAAAGATGTTGTGGCTAATGGATTTGGGAAAAAAATACAACAGCCTAGCCTAAGCCAAACTCCTTACATTGGAGGAAGATCATTACAATGGATTCTGAAGGGGGGAGAACATCCAGTGGAGCAGAGTGGACAAATTCCCTCATACAACTTCCATGATGGATGTGGAGAACTAACAGCACCCTGAGTCTTCACTGATCTTAGAGGTTTATGGTGTAAAGTAGATGGGGACAGTTGGAACAAAGAGTACTTCTGGAGAAATGCCATGGACCTTAGCCTGCTTGAGAAGAATAAATCAGCAGGAGTTTGGTGAGATTTGAAGTAAGATGGTACTCTGGCTTAAAGGCCCATGGACAGGTCAGTAATGAGAACTCAAGAGCCCCATCAGCAGCCAAAACAGAAGAGAAAAGTTTTCAAAAAGCTACCTTTTTAGTACCTAGCTTTTGAAAAGTCCTTTCATCTTAGATATCCTAAACAGATGTAGTGTTTTTGTGAGTAAGTAGCTCTGATGGGGACAGTAAAAAAGAAAACTGCAAAAATTTCAAGTTGTGGTCACATGCACATAATGAAAACTATTAGAAACATGAGAAATTTACCGTAATCATTGGCACAATGTAACGCCAGTTTTTATTCAGGCTTCCAATGTGGCTCATCTCCTCTTCTGTGAGGCTAAAATCAAACACCTGAGAACAAAAGCAAGAGGCTTTATTCAATAACCACAGGTTACCATTAGTTTGTCTTCCATTTATAAATATGAAGTTGCAATTAGACTCATTTTATAATAAACACCAAAACAAAGGCTTAAAGCCTGAGGTGTTCATACACTTGCCAACTCTAAGCCTACACTGACACTGCATGGCACTCTTCCACAAAGATAAAAAGCAGTGGGACTGTTCCTCCAAGTAAGTACTCCCTATTCAATCAATATTCTATTGCCACGTGGATCTAAACCTCAAGTAACTGCAGAGTTTACTGGAATTTCTTGAGATTGCTAGCAGTTTACAACATGGCAGGATTTGGTTTTATGGGAGTAAGTTACAGAAACAACTCCTAACTTAAAAGCAAGTATGTAACCAGCCAATCTGTACGATTAAGGGCTGAAAAAAATATCACAGGAGGCGATCTGAAGACCTCCCTCAAGATTATTTAAAGTTGGAGTTTTCAAATAATTCCTGAAGTGAACTGTCTCTACTTCAGAGCAGAAGTGAACCACACTTACTCCTTCAGCATCATTAGAATGGCAGTTTGCTGCAGAAATAGTCACCAGCCCTCACTTGCAGGGTAGAGCAACTATTATTCATAAATAAGAACCACTGAACATCATTAGAAGACTCCCTTGTTCTATAAATTTGTCTCAGATAAATTTCAGTAAAGATTTTTCATTTAGACTTCTACAAAGTACATTCTTTACCTCTTGATAACAAGACTGTGCATGTTCACGCTTATACACTTAGTTGCTTAAAACATATCAAGTTTGTTTTCCAAAAATCTTTACCCACCCTTCTAAGTGAGTGCATACATTGATGAACAAGTATGAACCAAGTGCATCAGCTTGTTGCTCTGCAAGTAGTAGGGCAGTATATTACTCACATGAAAGGGCATTTCCTTCATTTCAACTTACCTGGAGATTCTGCTGAATGCGAGCGGGAGTGACACTCTTGGGAATGGCAACCACTTTACGTTGCACTTGCCATCTGTTAAGAGGAGGAGAGATTTTTCTGTGTGTGCAGCCCAAAACCCACGATATTTATTTTGGTTGAGTAATCATCTGTGGCAGCAGAAATGCCACTTATGTTTCTATGTGAAACAAAAATACCCAGAAGAGGGCTGACATGGCTCTGTAGTGTATTAGGACCTAGTATGTCCAAGCTCAAGCAAGACAGTAGCCACTGGGTTAATCAGTGAGGGGAAGATGTTCATGCCTTTGAACAAGCAAGTTTCAGGTGCTTTAAGCTAGAAACCCAAGAAAATCAGGAAAATGTACTTAAGCATTTTACGCAAGTTCTAACATGACAACCACTGAGAAACTAGAAGAAAATGCAGATCCCTTAAGTGCCTGTCTAATGGCTTGAGCACAAAACCTTGAACATGTTCAGCTGGCAGGGTAACTTGCTGCTGCCCAAAACTCTGCTAGTGATATTGATAGATACGAAGCCAGACAAAAAATGAGGACAGAAATCCAATTTTACTTTACAAGGTGCTGATCATATTCTGGATATTACTCAATCATCTTGTTTCTCAGTATCCAGGAGCTGGCTTTTGCTATAAAAGCAAAACAGCAAATGGTTCTTCAGTGCAAAGAAGGAAGGTCCCTTCCTCAGCTCCTCTTCCTCAGAGCCCATCCAAACGTAGTAGCAAGCGCTCAAGGGTTCAAGCAACTGGCCACATGTAAATTCAGTAGGCAGCACTCAAATGTGGTACGCTGCTGCCTTAACTGTCCTACTGCTGCTTCACAGCAGAAAGGGTATGGAACTGTCCCAGGCATGGATCCAGGCCCTGAATGGGCCCCTCTGATCTAGTCTATCTACCTGCCCTAAGGCAGGACCAACTCTGTATAACAAGCACCAAATGGGGTTTGCTTTTGGCACTCCCTGTGATTTTAACTCCCCACTGATGCAGAACAACACACACTTTAAGTAGATTCTTTCTAGCTTGCATGTTCTGCTTTATTTAAGGCCAGGTCTCCCCTCTCACAATTGTTCTGTACCTGAGGATGATCTGTGCAGGTGACTTGCTGTATTTTTCTGCTAGATTTTTGATCCCAGGTTCTTCTAGAAGCACAGGCTCATCTGGGTGTTTCCACATGCGATCTGGAGAACCAAGGGGACTGTAGGCAGTGACGACGAGTCCTTGCTTCTGGCAGTGAGCTATCAGCTCGTTCTGAGCTAGGTAAGGATGGCATTCTACCTATTAAAATGACCCACGATGAGTGGCTAGAGAACAGGTATCAACACAAAACTCTAAATGAACAGAAGTCAAAAGCACAGCAGAACCAGAACACATCACAGGAGGTCATTCCAGATTCTGGAAAACCTTCTAAGGATAAGGTTTAAGTAAAGTAAGTTATCCAGGAGATGAAGAATTTTCCTTATGAACCAAACATCATCCAACAAACAAGGAAGCTCTCTATAGGATGGATTCAAGTTACTCCCTCAGAATCTTTCTTTCTTATAGACTTTCTTGTAGACTAAATTGTTTCTCTCAGGGAAGACAAACTCTTCCACAGACCTGTTCAACTAAGCAGGCATAAATGGCCACAGAACATGGATACAGGCTTCCCCTCCAACAAATTAATCTCCCTAGAAAGACCACCTTTGTGTGCCTACTCCTGCAGAGCTGGCTATATTCTTCTGTGTAAGAAGCTGCACCCCTTATGCTGAACACACAGCATTGGTATGCAAACTCTTTATTCTTATAGACAAATAGGAAAGGTATTCATCCTCTTTATTCATCTTACCTGGAGCACAGCTGGTTTGACAGTAGCCACACTTAATACATCATCGATCTGACGACTGTTGAAGTTTGACAACCCAATGGCTTTCACAAGGCCTTTTTCTACCAGCTTCTCCATAGCCTTCCAGGTATCCTTGTAATCAATGTAATCATAACGCATCGTGTTATCAGGATTCTTTGGGAAGAGATTGTCCCCTCGTCTACAACAAAGGTAAAGTGTAAGTACATACACCACACTATTTATATTATGTTAGTTCTTCACTAAAAGAAATTTTCCTCCTCAAAGTATTCTTAAAAGTCTATACATAGTTTGGAGGGTAGAGTACAAACTGAGCAAATTTGTCTGTTAATTCCATTATGCTGATTTAACCTATAAGAAATTATTTCACATACAGTATTTCCCATGTAAATTTGTTATACAGTACTCTGAACTACTTATCTATATGGTAGCGACTACACAGAAGTGATAAGCCACTGTATACACTGCAGCCGCAGCAGTGCTTTGCACACTTTGATTCTAGCAAAACGGCCAATTGAGAGAGCAGCAACTCAGAGGGCAGCTTTGCTTTTTCAATTTGTTTTTGAGAGGATTGATACTCTTCATAGTCTGTTTGGAGCTGGTCCCAAAGGGATCTTGGTTTAAGAGTTGTCTAGGAGAGACTGTATTCAAAGTACGTCGTACCAACCCATTTAAAAAATAAAATAAAATTTAAAAAAAACCCCACACACAAAGAACCTGGTTATGCCAGGTGACACCACCACACTGCCAAAGGGCTATGACTGGTCTCTGAGCAGTCCATGCTTGGAGGGGTACAAGCAATCCCACTGGAAGAGCACTGCTTCATAAGCACTGCAGGACACCGCTAGCTCAGATCCCAGAGACTGTCTTACATAGTTGTAGCTAAGCAGTGAACGGTGTGAGAAATGGCAGCGTCTGGGAACAAGGGGAGATGGTTCTTGTTCATGTCATTGAACAAATCTAGAACCAAAAATAACTCTGAAAGCCTTACAAGCTCCCAACTCAAAAAAGCAGCCTCATATGTCAAGAGTAATACGTTAAGTGAGAGATTAATTTTCAAGACCTACAGGCACTGTGATTTTCATCCGGAACTCTGTTTTAATTTCTGTGTAAATAACATTCGTTTTCCCAATACAGTAGGCATTATAGATAACCATGCAATAAAATAGTTGAAGTAGAGCTCATGGAAAACAGAGAGTGAACAGTTTCCAATGAGAAAATATGAAACTGCTTTATTAGAATGTCAGTTTTTTTCAACAGTTTCCACAACAGCAAGCAAATTTAAATATTAGTACTATCTAAATATACATCATTATTTGTGTTACATGTTATTACCAAAGCAATGGTTAACTTTTTCCCCTCAATCAACTGGAAAACAAACCTGTTTCACAACAGGGGGAATTTTTAACAGTTCTTCCTCCAAGCCAGCTCTAGTTGAAAACACTTCCTCATTCTGTTATGCTGAGGAATACATTTATATTTGAGCATCTTTCCTCTTATCGTTAGTGTTGTATGCTTTGTAAAATGCAGTTCATATGACTAGAACGGGAAAAAAACCACCATTCTCAAATTTGCAGAACAGACAGAAGCTTCTTAAACTGACAGGGTTTCCCCTGTTGAGCAAAGTCTCCATGTAAACATCTGGTCAGGAGATTTATATCCCCCCCTCGCCTTTTCACTGATTATAGGGTGGAGCAGGGGGACACACTGCTCCCACATGTACAAGACAATAAAGCAAGGAACTCTGCTTCTGATGGGGCTGTAGAATAAATGCATTTAGCTCTTAAGTGGAGTATCTTCTCATCTCATATTTCCTCAAATCATAGAATTACTGCAATTAAAGTGTCCTAAGAAGTCATTTTCATTTCCTCCTCATATAGATACCACCATGATACTGCATGTGCTTGGCCACTCTAGAAGTGTTAATAACTATTAGTGAAAAGTATTGTCTCCTTTACAAAGCACTTAACTCTCATTTTACAGATAAGTAAAACCAAGGCACAAAGCAGTTTCGGTATTTCCTGAAGGTTACCGTGTAGGCCAATGACAGAACCAAGAATAGCTGCTACACCTCCCCAATGCCTAGATGAAGACACTAGGCTATTTTAAACTCCTAATATATTTTAAACTCAAAGATTTTTACCTCACAGCAACCCAAATTTTCACCTAGTATAAGATGGCAAGCTTCACTATAGAAACCTGTCCCATAAAGATTTATTATTTTTTCCCAGTTAGATAACTTTCAGTTACCTGACTTTGGCAACCATGACAAACTGTCAGAAGTTTAGTGATCCTAATCTCATTAGCTAGTTGTTCTCACTAGTAAAAAAAATTAAGTAATTGCTTAAAGATTTTAAGTGAAGGCTTAATACTAATTTTTCCAGCTCATCATTGCTAAATAATGAGAACAATTATCCCTTTTCTATTTACAATACTTCTACACAAAAACAGAACTTTTGTCTCCTGCACTGTATGTTTACAGACATGCTACAAATCTAACAGTAAACAAATTCCCACCTAGCTGAAATTCAAAGAATGAAATTCAAACAATTGTTTCCGTGAATGAACAGACCAAATACCAGTAAGTGTACAGGTTATGGGTAGAAAAGAGTGTCTGTATGACAGTCTGTAGGACTATGCTATTTGCCACACTGCAAAACATCTTGCAGGCAGTATACCCAGGAAGAAATTCACACCTCGGAAAGAAGGTACTCAGGATATAATACCAGCCACTTATGTTAGGCTGGGTTTCTGCATTCTGTGCCCTTTCCATGTAGAACTTACTCAAAGGCATGAGGCCAGTGCATGAGGTACAGGTCCAGGTAATCCAGTTTCAAATCTCCAAGTGTTTTCCTTAGCGCTGGCTCTACGTCTTCTGGGTGGTGCTTGGTATTCCAGAGCTTTGATGTTACAAACAGGTCCTCCCTTTTAATAACCTTTAAGAAAAGGAGAGCTTAATTTACTGGAACAAGTTCAGAAAGAGAATTGCAGCAATTCCCCAACTAGCTTTAAAACAAAGAGAACAATTTAAGTTAAAAAAAAGTTAACATATGGAACCTACAAATTAAACCTTTCAAAAATATACTGGGTGGAGAAGAGTGAGAGAAATATACACATTGGCAAGTCCTAAGATATATGAAAGACTTAGCAATTTATTAGAAGTTCTGAAAAACAAAACAATCCTCTCCACATGCACACACTTTTCCAAACTTTCCAATTCAAGGGTTAAAGATACTACTAAGTGTGATGTGGCCAAAAGAAAGATTACTTAGTTTATTTATATGTAAATATTGTAATTTCTATTTAACAATTCACACATTCTAGGCACAACCAGCTACTTACTATACTCATCACATGTTATAAACCAAGAGTGCTTCCCATGGAAAGAGCATGGGAAAATAAACAAAAATTTCACCTTCCTCTGCACTTCAGTTTCTAGGTTCTGGAAGGAATGCACTAAGAACTGAGCACCCTGTACCCTGTATTGGAAAGGTAAGACCCAGAAATTAAACAAATAGAGAGCTGGTTAATTAAAAAGTATAAAATGCAAGAGGGAGATCATATTTGGCAAGCTGAAACACAGAACATCAGAGGGCACTTCTCACTGTCTTATGTGTGACCAGATTTCACTCAAGTATATATTTTGTCAAAGCTGGAATGATTAATTCCTTAGCTTCTCTCCTCCAACCATTCAGTTATTTCTGTGTTTCACATATGGCTATTGTGTTCAAAGAGAAAGACGTTTCAAAAATTCTAATTTTAAGTTAGCTAGCTAATATAAACTGAATAAGAGTCTCCTATGTTTCCCTATGTTAGTTACCATAACTAGTAGGAAGGAATCCTTGGGGCAAGCTGAAAACAGCCTCTCTCAAGCTAATCACATAACAAAGAGATTGCCCTAAAGCCAAGGCAAAAGCAGCAGGAAAGCAGGAACATAAGAACTTTCTTTCCACCGGCTCTGAGGCTGTACAGGTAATCCTTCTGGCCTCTCAGGACAAGAGCAAGGGGATCAATTTAAGATTCCACCGCAGGTCATCCATAGGAATGCCTGTCGCAATACAATATATTTAGGCCATGGACTCTCAGGTGCAGGCCCTAAAGTCACAGTTACCAAACCTTCAAATGCAATCACTGTTTAAAAAAAAGTACTTATTTACTCACTCATATTTTATCTATAACCAAAAAACCTACAGTCAAAATTCACTGTGGCTACCCACCATTGCATGCTATTCTAGACTGGCAAACTAGAGTAATTTTTCACATAAATTATGGCAAATATTTTACATTATAACTACTGATTCTAGGAACCTCCAATTTGTGAACATCCAAATTGGAACACTTTGCAAGTGGGAAAGGGGCAGGTAGGGAAATTAAAAAAAAAAAGAGAGATATTTTCTGTAGGTTCCACACAATATTCCTGACAACCTTTTGTCCTCCTGACAGCCAGGATGGTTATGAGAGAAAGCCCTCTTTCACGCCTGCTCCTGATTAATAACAAACAGCTGTCTTACCTTGCTGGGC